GAAGAAACCCGAAATATTAACTATACATACATACATACATATATATATATATATATATATATATATATATATATATATATATATATTTATATAATTATATATAAATTATATAACAATGGAAAGATAATTTAATCAAGAATGTAATGCAATAACTTTTATGAAGGATTTGCTATTAGAATAGCAGTTAAAGTATAAAGAAGAAAAGTGAAACACGTAAAAAAACCAAGATATACAAAAATTATCACATCCGTTAATACTTAGTTGGGTAACCTTTAGGATGAATTGCCATGGAGTGAACCAAGTTCTGCAGCTGTTATAATGCGAAACCAAGATTGAATGATTGCTTCTATTAACTGGGTTTTATTGCTGGGTCACTTCTGACTAACAAGTTTCTTTAGTCAGCTCCATAGATTTTCAATTGGGTTAAGGTCTGGGCTATTCCCAGGCCATTCCAGCAGTGGAATATGATTATCTTGAAATTCCAAAAAAAAAAAAAAAAAGTGGTGTTATTAGCCATCAAACCTCAAAAATACACTTTCCCCAAAAGGTTCCACAATTTTGGCCACTACTGTATAATGTATAAACCTGCAAATGTAAAGATTTTCAATATCCAAGATATGGACAATAACAATCTATCATGCTTTCCCTCTGGACATAAGCATTCTCTTCTTGTTGCAATCATGAAATCTAGAGTGACAGATCAATGTATATTTCAGCCAACATTTCTCCTATTAAGGAGACAGCAACTTCCTTTTTGACTTCTATTTCTTAAGAGGTTGTTAACAGTTTCAGGGCAAATGACTCAGGTTTGATTTGAATTCTAAAATTCTGTTTAGAAATCTCACATCATAAGAACCATATCTATAGGGATTTATAGTCTAGTATATTTCAGAATCATAAATGGTGGCTAGTGTTGGACACTGGAAAAGCAAAAGAACCAGTTTGTTTATTAATAAATGTAAGTAGAATTATCTAAACGAGATTACAGGGATCATATTCTAGTTTTCTAAGAAACACTAGGAACATTAGTAAAGATTGACTTATATCTGCAAAATTAGATGCAAACACATTTCATCAGGCATAAGAATAAATTTCTATTTCCAGCTTTCAGGGGTTCTTGTTGGACTGTAAGATCTTCCCTTGAACAAGATGAAAACTAAAATGCATAGAAAATTATAATTCTTTGCTGCCATCTTGGTGTTTGGTTTGTTTCAAAGTCTAGATCCAGTAGTCCTCGTGTTCAGATATTTGGAGGCTGGATTTTGGATCTCCTGCAAGTCATAAGTAAATTGTTCCTGTTGATTGTACCAAAAATTAGACAAATTAAAAAATAATGCAAGTTAAATCAGGTATGCACTGTACAGCTCTTACTTTTTTTTTCTATGCATGGAAATTTTAATAAGCAAATTCCTTAAAACAGAGCATTTCTCTTTTTTCAGTCTCATCCAGAAGCCTGAAAAAAGGTTAGGTTCCTTTGACAAATAACAGAGAGATGCTATGCTTGCACAACATCTTCATCACTTATCTGATTTTTGAAGGATGCAAAGCCCAAGTGCCTAGACATGTTGATTCCATATCTCAAAAATGCAGTTTTGAAATTCTTAAGGAAGTCACTATCTTCTAGCTGAAATCTTCATAACCATTCCAGTAGCTGAAGGACATCTGAGGACATCATATTATAGGTTTCAATGTTTTAGTATTAGTTGGGTATGGACAACTGTGGGAGGATTGGGGCCTTCTTAGAAAGATTGTGGTTCAAGGGTTTACTCTTTGAGATGTGTTTATCTATACAAAAAATAAGGGGGATTAAATTTACCAGTGTGCAGAACAAGCTTCTTTAAAAAGTTGTCTATAATTATCAGTGTAGACGTGCAAAACAGTACTGTGTATAATTCTTCTTTCAAGGACATAAGCATAGCCACAAGACCCTGTTACCTTCTGTTTTATTTTTCCACTAGTTTGCATGTGTAAAAGTTATTTTCATTATTACATGTGAGAGGCTGATTGGTGAAGCTGTTCTACCCCCTTCTTTTGTTAGGATGTAGCTCTTCTCTGCTCCTTACACGGTACTTTTGGCCAAGCCATTTCCCTATTTATAAATATTGCAAGTATTTCAGGCAACTCTGAAATATTTAAGATTCTTTCAACACCTAGTGCTCAAATCAAGGAAACAATTTTAGCTTCAATGTGGAAGACACCATTATATTAGTGAAAGAATTCACCACACTGTTGGATTAATTTTGCATACACATATGGCCCTTTTTTTCAGGTGATTGTGGTTGAACTGGGTTTGAAATTTTTCCAGGGAAAGGAAAAATTCTTTAACAATTTCTTAAGAGTAGGATTCCCTATAGCACCACTGCTGAAGGAATTTAGTTAAATGAATTCCTTCTTAATCTCTTTCATGGGATTTAATGGACATGAAGAAAGGATTATACAGTAAAAGTCAGGCCATTCAAACATAGCCTTCAACTACCTGATAACAAATAATGTAGAACAGGGCTGTCAAACTCATGGCCTGTGGGCCAGATGCATCGTGCACTGGCCACACCCATGCCAGGGGGGGGAAAGTCACGATATGTCACATGACAATGCCGTGATGACACGGGTTTGACACCCCTGATGTAGAAGAACTCACAATCCATCATAAAAATTTCTCCTTTGATAGAATTTCTAAAGCAAATTTCCTTTCCTCTAATTCAGTGGTTCTCAACCTGTGGGTCGCGACCCCTTTGGGGGTCGAACGATCCTTTCACAGGGGTCGCCTAAGACCATCAGAAAACACATATTTTCAATGGGTTTAGGAATAATTTTATGGTTGGGGGTCACCACAACATGAGGAATTGTATTAAAGGGTTGTGGCATTAGGAAGGTTGAGAACCACTGCTCTAATTGAATGATAATTTGTAGGGAAAAGAAGGAGCATCATTTATCTGCAAAATGCTATTCTGCAGGAACACGAAGACTTCAGTTGCATGGTAATATGTGTCGTGTGAAAGCCTAACTTGTAATAGCAGGCATCATAGCAACCCTAATATTAATTTGGCTTTAATCAAGTCACATCTGAAAGGCATTGGGGGAAGTGATCAATTTAAACAGAACAGCCAATCCAACACCAATATACACAATATAGCTCTCTGTATGAGCCCTCCATCTGTCTCTGTAGTTCTTTTGAAAGTTGACTTACTACTTTTTAAATAAACTTAAAACTGATGTGAAAATTGTACTATTGGAATCAAAACTTTCTGAGTGTGGAGTATTTTAAACACTAGATCCATGCAAAAAGCAGGGGGGAAATCCTGCCAGATCAAAATTACTATTGCTTCCCCAAGAGGAGAAGAGTTATTTTATTACTCTTCAAAAACTGAGCCTTGGAAATCTTTACTGTTTTGTTACTCAAAATTCTACTAATAGATCCTGATCAATCTCCCAATCAATCTTGGTGCTTATTAGTAAGTTATTACAGTAGAAACAAATAACACCCATTGGTTAAAAGATGGAGATATTTTCTATCTTTTATTTATTCATTTGGGAACCAGATTTGCATGTGGTGTGTGTGACAGTGCATGCAACTGATATGTGTGCCTATGTGTATTGCTGGGTGTTTTTCAGATTGGATGCTCAGCATATTACAAGAGATTTGCTTTGGCAGGTCTCAGGATTGAACAATCCAATCCTCAACCGTACCATTTTGATTCATGCAGCTCTGGCAAAATAGCATGATTTTGGCTTAACAATTCTGGTGTGTTAATTAGTTCAAATAAGAGTAGAAAAGTGAAGTTTTGGGATGAAAAACATTAACAAGAGATAAAAATGAGACACCAAATGCATAAAAGATTACTTTTGTGATCCCTCATTTTCTTTTTTTCATCCTAGAACTTCATATGGTAAGACAGAGATTTCCTAAAGAACCATTTTCCTTATCTGGATTATTACCATACATTGATTTTGGAAACTTCAGGCTTAAAAGATGGTGACTTGAAGAAGATAAAGAAAAAAAACCCTGTTTTTTATTCTCAGCTCTGCTCTTTGGACCAATCTCACACAGGAGCTGTTTTGTGATTTCTGCATTTGGCCATTCTTAAAGCTGAACACTTTTCAAAGAGACGGTGTGGTGACTGTTTGATGGCAGTAGCAAACATTCGGGCTAGAAAGGGCTAACCATTCATGGGGGAAGCACCTTGGCACAGCTTCAATGGAATGAATCAATGTAAAGGAACAGAACTGGCTACTTAATGTGCCCATGACAAATTTTTCTGGCAAAGGGCTTTCCCTTAACAACAAAACATTTTTTAAAAAGGTGCTTTTATGGGACTCTGATTTCCTTTGTTCTAAGAGCAATGTATGAAAATAAACAACACCTCCTTTCATGGTGGATATGAGAGAACAAAAACCTGTTACCCATTTTTTATTTTTCTATTTAATATTTTTAATTATATCTTCAACTTTTTCATTCTGATAATGAAAAGGTTCTCAATGGCCTTCCTTATGTTAGCCTTTTTTCATATTTCTCATCCCCACATTCTTTATCTTTTGTACTTCATATTCATTTGGTTGAAATGTCTTTCTTTGATTCATTTATTTCATGTTAACTCGGAAAAAGGCTTTAAAGATTCCTCATCATGAAAAGTTTCCATAAAAGTTCCTCATTTTCTTAAAAAGGAGACTGCTGAACCTACACCTATTCCCCAATAATTTTAGGACATTTTAAACAGTTTGTGAGAAGGACAATTTCCCGTCATATAGGCATATTAATTGATTCTGCTGCTATCACAGTCCAGAGACGTTTATGACATAAAGCAAAATCTGAAAAATTTCCTTATCAGAGGCAAATAAAATTGAGATACAAGATATGCAGAAATCCTTGTTCAATCTATATTCAATACTGTGTAAACAGCTATGGTCTGTTTCTACCATTCCATATGAACATTTCTCCAATATAGTATGTATTCCTTGAATAGGACTTTTGTTTAATATACAAACTCACAACTTTATTTATTCAGCCATATAATATAATTTATTCAGAGTATAATGCAAAAAGTATGTAATGTCTCCAAAATTAAAATGAACAAACACAGGGTTTGAGAATGAGTTAACACTTGTCTGGAAATTGATTCCAGATCTAAATGACAACCTCATAGAGAGAAGACATTTTTCTAGGTTGCTGTTGATTACAGTAATTGCAGTTGTCATATTTCTGTTATGGAGCTGAAAAAAATTCAGAGTTCCTCTCTGAAAAGGTTGTCCTCTGGTTTAGACGTTTTTTTCTGAAACAAAGCAGAATAAAGAGAAACACATCATATCATGAAGGGAAATATATGTAGCTTAACAAAAAGAGTTAAGCTTAAGCCCTTCTGCCTCCAATTTATTTTTCAATTTTAGCTCAGTGTCATTTGCACAAATCAGAAACATGTAACCCTAAAAATAAAACTACCTTACCACAAAAATGAATTCCTGATCACTTCTTGTAGCTTAATGGCAAAACAGATGTTATGTATTTCAAAAGCCCTAGATTCAGTTTCTATTATTACCAGGTAGGATTGGGAAAGTCTCATCTCTAAAAACTTGTAGAACTTTATCCACTATTCTTCATTAGCTGGACCAATGGCCTCCTTCAGGAACAAAGCATTTTCCTCATTTCTTGAGTAATACATAAATGGGATATTGAAACTCAGTTCTAATACTTTAAAACGGGGGTCCCCAGGACCCGGGCCATGGTAGGCAGCAGCCCATTTGGAACTGGGTTGTGTAAGTGGAGCTGTGCACATGAAATGGAGTTGAGCACACACACCTGCCACTTACACAGAACCATTTCCTCTCTCCCCCCACCCACCCACCCCCAGCCACGCTGTGCCTTAACCCTAACCCTAACCCTAACCCTAACCCTAACCCTGCTGGTACTCAATTACCATATCATAATCACTCAGTTATATATTCCTTGATAAAAAGCAATTTCTTCCATTGTCTTCATGATGTTGTTCTCATCTCTAAGTGTTCAGATATTAAAGTAGTTCCCCCTCCCCCTTTATTTCAATACCATCTAACAACAGATGGCAGGTAAGTAAAATCTGGTATGTTTTGCCACTTATTCAAGGAGAATGTATTCAGCTGAAGAAAAGTGGGTATGAGCTTGTCCAGCTGCCATTCTGTAACTTAAAGAGTTATATATACTGGCATGTGCAATCTCAAAAAAACACAAAGAATCGAACAGTGATAGACAAAGCAGACTCAGGAAAACAGAGCCTTGAAATCAGACCCTCCCCATTTCTTCTCATTGGTGGGTGTTTTTCTTGCTAGCTGGTATAAAATGAGGATGGAGGACGACACAGCCAGAGGATTAAACTAGTTACTTTGCATAACAAAAGTGTTATGCAAAAAATTAGGATAACATCATTGGCAATGGTGGCAAACACAGATGGAACAGAGTGTGGCAACAGGAACTGTATATTGCATGCCAATATTGTTTTCTGACAACTGAAAAATTTGTGGAGAACAGTACTTTTGTTTAATAATGGAGAAAGGTCCTAAGGTGTTTAATTAGCAGTTTGTGGCCCTTTTTGGCTAATAGCCTAAGAATCTGTGCAATGACTGCATTCAAATGACACATGTCATCTGATGTGCTGAACTACTAGTACTCATGAATTAACTGTCAGGATCCAAAAGCAGGTTTGAAAAGAACAAGCTAGTTATTGCTCAAAGACTAAGTATTTTACAAAAGTCTTTAAAGAAAAGACTTTAAATATAGATATCTTAAAGCAGGTGGGTCTCTAAGTGTTCCTGTTGTTTATAATAGAGACATTGTAATAGAAATGTGCAATATATGTATTTTTCCTCTAACAGAACACAGTTCCTTGGTGGGAGACACTGGTAGGCAACCTGGTAATTTGGGGAACAGAGAGCATCAGGGCTTTTGACAACACATTGTATGCCATTTCTGATTACCAGTATTTACATTACAAGAATGGGTCTTCCTTTTTAACAACATCACTAAGGTTTATAATTAATTCTTAAGATTGCTTCTGTCAAAGAAGTGAATCAATTTTATGCCTATTAATTCCCAAACCTTACCCAAGGTCTGAAGTATCTGTACACACAAAGTTTACCACAGTTCTCTATTTTTCCATGAGTCTAAAGCTTCCTTTCTCTAATCCCTAGAAACACATAAATAAACATAAACCCAGAATTTCCAGTGGTTGGAAAAACAAATTGTGCAAAGGAGAAAACATAAGACACTGAATGTAATCATTCAAACTAGTCCAATTTGTATTACCTATTCCAATTCTAGAGTTTCAGGTTTAAAGATTAATAACTAATAGAACATTTCTAAATGTTATGGAATTGCACAGCTTTTCAAAAGGAGAAAGTTCTTTGGTAAGACATTAGCTAAATGAAATAACATTTTCATGTTAACATCTTTCTGAGGAAAAGCATGAACTCCAAATACACTTAGAAACACTAGGTTGGACAAAGCTGATAGGGGATAGGAAGAAATGTTTTGAAACCCTACAGTTTTTTTCAGACATAAACTTGGAAATGATGTTGACAGGGAGAGAAAAGCTAGCACCAAATTTCCAGGATGATGTCAAGGAAACAGCAAGCTGTTGACTAGTCAAGGAATCATGTGTGCAAAAACTCATTCTCACTTCATACTCACTTCTTCCTTTCTCTCCAAGAAGGCATTACAAAAATCAGTTATTCTCTCCACAGAGACTTCATCCAGAAGCAGCACATCCTGCTCGTCATCTGCAGTGTAGTAGGCAGCCAGGGCAGGTAGCTGGGACTTCTTTAAGTGGAAATAAGACAGAACCCGATCATTACCCTCGATGCTGATGTCCACCAGGATAAATAGAGCCTTCAAAGAAAGAACAAAAACATAATTTTAAAAAGTTCATGGAGCAAATAAATATAACACATATTTATAATGATGAGGAATTAAAGGATGATAAGGTTTCGCCAGAGTTGTCTTTGTAAATCCAATCTTTAAGGCTTCTAAATTTATCCAAACAAGTGTAAACCGGTTGGTTTAAACTACTGTTTTGTGCCACACAGGCCTCTTAGCTTCCCTGTTCATTCTATTTAAATACAGTTTTACTACTCTTTCAACAGCATGAAGACTATATTAAAACTGTAACCATTTTGGATCCTGGCAATAAAGCAAAGTGATGCCTCCCGCATCCCAAACCAAACTGACCATGGAAGACTGTGCTAATAATGAGAGAGTGCTCCTATATTAAATGATTATGGAATCACCAGTATATTTTCCAAGGGCCAAGTAGTATTTAGGAAAATAACTTAAACAGAAATAACAAACATTTCATCCTCATAAATCCAGAAAAACTGATTTAGTGTCCTCAGTGCCCTGTTCATTTGGCAAGATTCATGGACAAGAGTGCCATTATTCTTGGAAGAAATTCTAAAGGTAGCTGAATTTTCAAAGGCCCTGGAAAAAGGCAGATGGAGCACTAGTTCTACTGACTTCTCCAAATTCTTTTCTGCAATTAAAGGGTGCCCCAGATACTATATAATAGAAAAGCTAAAGAAATAGAAACTGCAAAATATACCCTGAAGGTGCTATAAAATATGCAATATTTTTACAGCCGCAGTTAACTACCAATATTAAACAAAAATGATCCAATTAACTTTTCTTTCTGCTGACAAAATAATTATCATTGTAGCATGGTGCCAGTAAATGGGTGGTATAATAAATATTGAGCCTTCTTCATTTCATCAGCTTTCCTCTAGAGAATGTATGTGAATGGAGCATATGTTCCAAATCCGTGTTTACAAAAATTTGGTTTCTGTTTGCTAACCTAGTTTTAAGTCTCACACACATACACACACACATATATATTGAAAATACAAAGAATCTTATAATTTGAATTAATAATATGAAATTATAGAGGGAAAGAAAAGATTAAAAAATCTTAGGTGATTTTTCTAATCAGAAATGTGCATGGAGTTGGGTCCTTCCAACTCCATGTATTTATTATATATAAAATTAAAAGTTTGTTGTGTCATTCTTAATTTGAGCAGGGAAGTTGTGGGGTTTTGTGCAGTATCACACTCATGCTTAATCATCCTGCTTTCCCCATTTGTATTTTAATATATGAAATATTATGTAAACAGAACTAGCACTTCGAAAAAATCTTTTGTGACATTGAAAAGGAATATTTCAGACTTACCTTGCCTTGAAAGGCTACTGCTGCTTCACGGTACTTGTTAATCCTCTCAGTATGTAGTGGGGAAGTCTTGTCACTGAACAGAAGAAGATGGGTCTGAACTGCACTATCAAAGAGGCCGACTGCAATCTGTCATGATTAACAGAACAGATGAAGTAATATGTTGATTAGAGAATGTAAGCATTAATCTTCACATGTTCCAAAAAACCCTCAGCCATGAGATAAATTTATAGTCAAGGGTTGGAAGAGAATGCGTTGAAGGGCTAGAGAAACAACAAAGGAAGATGATGCTCAATAGCACAGGTAGGCATTATAGAAGTCACAAACACCTGTTTTGGTATATACAAAGCTTCACTTTTTTTTACTGTCCTTTAAATCACATTTACTTTTTTTAAAGTGGGAAATTGATATATTCTAGTTGACCTGAAACTGTAAATAGAAAATTAAAATGGTGACTTTCTTTTTAAATCATTTGCTAGTGGCATTGCTGACATAAACACAATTTCCAAATGATGTATTTAAGGCTATTGAACCAAGATATAGGCCTGGTTTCAAGGAAATAAATATGGAGAGGAGGAAAGTATGACTAATGTTGGCACATCTTCTACTGAGTAATCTGTATACCTCATCCCCTATATTTGTACAGCAAACATGATTGATAAAATGACATGAAAGAAGTTATGTCAAAGGCTAAATCTCCAACCTAGGGCTTGCTGCAATCCACACCAGAAGTGGCAAATTTTCTTTAATGTTCATTTTAATGTTGATTTTTGTGTTTGACATGGTTGTTGCTGTTGTACATCTAAATACTTATTTGGAGATTTCCACCCCACCCTTCATTTCACCTCACTTTATTTTACTTTAATACCTCAGTACTCATCCTTACTTGGTTCCAGGAGGCGCAAAGAGTACCAAAAACAAGGACTTCCAAACCATTTTTTCCATAAGGAATAATGTAATGAGTCACAAAACAGCTGACACTGACATATTCTAGCTTGTGTGTTGAGTACCAAATAAATGATGAGTACCAGGACAAAATTTTCATGTCAAAATGCATTGGATACCAAATTTGATGAATTTCAAAACAGTTGAATACCAAGGGCCACTGTACTTTAATTTAATTTACTTTATTTTACCTTACCTTACTTTACTTTACTTTACCTTGCAATTCAATAGAAGGAAGTTTCACTGAGTTCAGTGCTTCATTTTTTCAGTTGCAGTCTTCTTTGTTTCTTACTTATTTAAATATTTAAATAACTTGAAATTTCATGTCCCAGTAATTTTTAATAAATGGATTGTTTACTTTCATCATGAATTTAATTAAATTGGCTGTATGGCATAGTGTGCTCTTCTAAGTCAGAACAGAGTGAAAGCAAACCTGCTGAAAATACTGAAATGGCCACATATGTATTCTCTCTAATATTACAATGATTAAATTATAAAAACATAGCAGAAACCTGGAAAACATCATCTGGAACTGGAAGCCACAAAGCTGGGGCAGGTTGGAAGAGAACACTAAAAGAAGGCACACATCACCTGGGGGTGGCATGATGGAGCAGCACACACTAGGTCTCTGTGAGCATCCTCCAATCCCCTGGCATTTACTGCATAGTCTCTAGGTGGTAGACAATTTGTCATCTGACTTTTCCTTTCCCCTTTCTCCCCCTGACACTTCCTGGACTGCAGCTGCTGCTCCCACAAGCCAAACAGAGAACTGGAGAGTCTGCAGCTGACCTGCTGCTCCTTCATGTGCCTCATAGAACCACAGTGAGAGAAAGACCTCTATGTCAGACCTTGCCAGCTTTTCCATTAAAAAAGAGGAATATGTGAGAGGATTCCAGAATTAATAAGAAAAGGTCAGTGAGTGCACTTCTTGAAGAACCTTCCAGCTCTGACCACTGGGACTCTACGTTGTGGGAGGTCCAGAATATTCTGGCCTTCAGTTTCAAAGCTCCATTTCTCTTTCCATGAAAATAGCTAGACTACAAAACTCAAGAAAAGACCAAGTCAGACATGGGCAATGTTCTGACTATTAACCCACAACAGGGACAAAAAAGAAATCTCAGCAAGAGATGTATTCCTCACAGGCACAGTTCAAATGCAAATATCTATTATAAACCTTAAATTACACCTGTGCAACTTTTTCCAGAGCAAGGACTGCAACTTGCTTTTGAAAAGCATTGCTTGCAGGTCATATTTCAAAAAGAAGACATTAGGGCAAGAAGCAAAAGAAAATACAATGTTTATATTTATGTTTACATTTAATCACAATTAAATATACTTAATGCAGTTATTTCTCTTTTTTAGAATTACAATTGGTGCTCAACTGCTTTGAAATTCATTAACTTTGATATTCAAGGCATTTTGACATGAACATTTTGTCCCAGTACTAATCATTTGGTACCCAATGCACAAGCTAGAACTTGTCAGTATCAGCTGCCTGGTGATTCACTACATTATCCTTATGGAAAAAAATTGTTTGCTACTCATCATTTTTGGTACTCATTACGCCTACAAAAACCAATTAACAATGAGTACCAAGGTACCACTGTATAAATCATTAATTTTGGAGGTCTCTGGAAGCCACATGCAACCTAACTCTGGGGTCAACCTAACTCTGAGGTTTGCCCTTTCTGCTCACATGACATGCACCAAGCATATGCCAATGTGAATTATTTAGGGTAACAGATAATCTGACATTAAAACTTTCCTCCTAATATATCAATTCTTTTCCTTATAAGAATAAATTAAACCTATTATTATAAACTAAACCGAAATCATTATAAACTCAGCAGTCAAATCAACTGTACTAGTTAGGTTGTAGAAAAATTCCTTTGTTACCATGGGATTGTACTCAGTCACCCAACGGAGTTCATTCATCCGGACAAAGCGACTCAACTTTGCAACATCAACTTTGTTACCGTCTTGGATTTCCAAATCTTGCCTTTTGTTATCCACCTGAAGTAAAGCAAATAATCTTGCTATCACCACTGCACTTCAGCCACTGTTCTTTAAAACACTTGCAGAAAGCCTCTCTCCAAACAAATTTCTTATTCCATTCATTTCATTTCCCATCAATGCTTTTGCTTAAGATTTTCATAGTACTGACTATCCTAGAAAATTAAAACAATAGTCTTCGCTTTTTTGATTTAGCTAGAGAAATAGTTAACATAAATTTCTGAACTATTAGCAGTTGAATTAAACCATCCTGGATTCTAAAAAACAAGGTGGATTATTAAGTGTTTGTGGGGCTTTAGGAATGAGATCTTAAAAAAAAAAAAACCTAATTTCTACTTTTTGCAAAAGTTCATCTGCTAATTGCATTACTTCTAAGCTTAATAAACACTGGCAAAAGCATATATGGATTTCCTGGAAACATTGTGCAAGCAAGAACCCTCTCCAATAAATACAGGCATTTTTCCAGAAGATCAAGGAAAAATATTCAGACTCCAAAAACTCCATTTTGGGGAACAGATCTTCCACTAACATTTTCCGGGATCTTGTTGACAGTCCCTTAACAGACAGGCAAGTAAAACAGCAAATTCCAGAGGATTAAGTCAGTACTCAGTTAAATTTCCTTATTGATATATGCATGGCTCTATAGAGTATAAGTGAATGATTTGCACCAGAGAGGGAGGGAGAGGGAGATCCTGGGTAATGCACATCTCTGTATTCTGTTATATCCACCAAGCAAATGTGTTTTTTCCCCAGAAATATCTGTCCCAGTCTTTTTTATATATAGAAAGTCTTTTGACTTTGTTATTACTATATGCCTTAAAATATCTATGCAGCCATTAATGTCAATTATTCTTTGACTGGTGGGAAGAAACTAAACCAAAAGTAACTCATAGAAAATAAGGAGTGTTAAACTGGTACAAAACAAATGAGAGCCAGAACACATAAACTCTTGAGATACTCTTCCAGTGACCATCGGAGTCAATGGAAAAAGCATTTACTAGAGCAGCGGTTCTCAACCTGGGGGTCGCGACCCCTTTGGGGGTCGAACGGCCATTTCACAGGGGTCACCAAAGCCCTCTCTCCCCCCACCCCATGCCTTCATTCACCCTCACTCTCTGCCTCTGTTGGATCGCCGGCTGTTTGCTTACCCCGCCCCTACCAATCTATTGCTGCCTCCTGAGTCCCAGCTGATGGCTAGAGGGAAAAAAACTGTTTAAATTCTTGCCGCGGGGCTTCAAAGGGCCACCCTACAGCTGATCAGTGTTAAAAGAAAACAAATGAGTAGACCGGTGCCTGCAAAAATAAAAAAAACAGCCCCTTTCAGCTTCAGGATAGGTTAATTAGTACAAATTGATTAGATCAGCCTCGACTCTCAGCTGATTTGCTCTCAGCTGTTTTGCGGAGGGCTCTGTTGCTAGCTGCAAAAAAATCTCGAGCAGATTTTTTTTCCCCTAGCTATGCTGAAAAAACAAAACTGAAAGTAAAGCAGGGTCTTTGCTGCAACGTGACAAAATGAGGCAGAGAGAGATTTCTTTTTCTTTTTCCTCACCAAAAAAAGGTAGGTGCAAAACTGCAAATAATGGGAAATTTAGGGCAAAAAAGGAGGTTCAAGATTTTAAAACACAAAAGAAAAAAAGCTCTATTTAACTAGGGAATTGTAATAATTGAGATACTATTAATTGTATATTGTGTTGAAAGCAGAAATGGTTAAGTTGTGGTTTGGACGAATATATGGGGGAAATTATTTGGTTTATTATTATTGGTAAATATAATTAATTGATTTGTAAGAAATTGGATTGTATGGAAATAATTGGAATATTCATGTTCATATTGATTAATCTACAAAAAAGATAGTTATATAACTAATTGATTTATATTAAAATGTTGAATTTGTATTAAACAACTGTATTACATAATTACATAATTAACCAATGTGAGGATGGATATAAAAATAGATGACAATGCGAAGGGGTATAATATAGAATAGAAGGGAAAAATTGAATTTGATTAAGATTAGAGATGAGGATGAAGGCTAATATTTTTTTTAAAAAAAAATAGATGAGGAATAAATATGGCAAAAAGGAAATATAGAAATTGTAAATTTAATTGAAATGACTAAACACTGTTTGTGAACCGGCCAAATACTCTGTTCAAAGAAAATACATTGTATGTTTATATGTGTGTTTCTAATTACTGCTATTTATTCATATTTGTTCTCTTTTATTCTTTAAAGTTTAACAATTCATTCTTTATCTTAATATCTTTATATTTGTTTGGGGTTGGCTTTCTTCCCTTTCATCTTTTTTATTGTACAGCAATCTTTCTTCTCAAACCTACCACCTCTGTCTTTTCTTTCTTACTTACTTTCTCTTCCCCCCCCCTCTTCTTCTTCTCCCTACTTCCTCTTTGTCCTTATCCTCCTCTCTTTCTCCCTCTCTTACCTTCACTCCTATTCTAATTTCCCTTCCCTTCCTTCATCCCTCTCTATTGTTGTATCCTTTTATGCATATGGACTACTCAGAGGGCTGAAAAAGTTATTTTTGACTGGTCCTCGCACTTTTGACCAGTCCTCAAACTTACGACTGTCCTCACATTTTATGTTTTTGCCCTATCTTGTCACCATGGTGAAGAGAAGCAGTTGTGAAATGAGTGACATGGTTGTTAAGAATGCTACAATGGGCATAAATGATGACCAGTCATAAGTGTGAAGACTGGTCAAAAGTGCGAGGACCTATCAAAAATCACTTTTTTCAGCCTTCTGGGTAGTCCTTTTGTGCGCATGGACTACTCAGAGGGCTGAAAAAGTTATTTTTGACTGGTCCTCACACTTTTGACCAGTTCTCGAATTTACGACTGTCCTCACATTTTACATTTTTTGCCCTATCTTATCACCATGGTGAAAAGAAGCAGTTGTGAAATGAGTAACATGGTTGTTAAGAATGCTGCACGGGCATAAATGTGAGGATGGTCATAAGTGTGAGGACCAGTCAAAAGTGCGAAGACCTGTCAGAAATGACTTTTTTCAGTCCTCTTAGTAGTCCCTATATACATAGCCATGGCCACCCAGTCACATGACCAGCTAGCCACGCCCCCCCAGTCACATGACCTCCAAGCCACGCCCACAGAACCAGTAGTAAAAAAATTTAGAATCCACCCCTGGTTGGAGGTCACCACAACATGAGGAACTGTATTAAAGGGTCGCGGCATTAGGAAGGTTGAGAACCACTGTACTAGAGACTACAGACTCTGTAAAAACAAATCAGCCCTATTCCAATGCTGTACATATTTTGTTGTTGCATAAAGAATCTCCTATATCAGAGAAACAACATATATATGTATGTTCAAGCAGACCTTCTTCATGAAATTATTTGGGGAGGGTAGGTAACTCATCCAATGCCATTGGATTAGGCCTGGATTAGTGTGGTTAGTTTTTGATTGCAAAACTCTGATAGTTCCATGTCATCTTAATATATCCAGAAACCCCAAAGAATGTCAAGTATTGAACATAAACCCATCAAAAATATTTAATAATCTACCCAGCTATTCCCAGTTTAATATAGCACTGTAATTCCTGTTGCCTTCAGTTTACATGTTAGCCTTGAAGATGTAGTCCAATACAGCAGTTAGCTAGTTAGTTATACCCTCCATCTCTACATAACAAGGGAAGTCCTCATTTAGTGACTGCACTTGAGATCCATTATTAAGCACAATAGTCACTAAGCAGAAAATCATGCAACCGTAATGGACTTACCACATCATTTCCTATTTGGTCATTAAGTGAGCCATCTCAAGGCTGTGACTTATAATTTTACTTCCATATTTATCTGCTTGTCACAAGTCATTTGGGAAGTACACAAATGTCAATCATGAGATTCGAGGATGCTACAACAGTCATAAATGCATTTTTGTTGTGAAGTGCCTAAATGACAATCATGTGATTGTGAGACACTACAACCATCATGTATGTAAGGATTGATTGCAAGCTATTATTATTATTATTATTATTATTATTATTATTATTATTATTATTATTATTATTATTATTATTTACTTTATTCATGAAACATGAAACTCAGTCAACTGAACATATAAAAATGCATCACAAATACCACTGACTGGCGTTGATGGTTGATACGGGTTGCTGCCAGCATCCTAGGTATCAACCAAGTATCTTCTTAAAGTTGTTTATTTATTATTTACTTTATTCATTAAACATGAAACTCAGTCAACTGAACATTCAAAAATGCATCACAAATACTATTGACTGGTGCTAATGGTTGATACGGGTTGCATCCTAGATATCAACCAAGTCATTATTCATCATCAACCTATTATTATTGTTGTTGTTGTTGCTGCTGCTGTTGCTGCTGCTGTTGTTAATTATTAATTATTAATGTAAATTCAGATGGTTAGGAACAAAGCAATCAGAAAGCAAGGACTAATTGTAATAGACTGGGGTGAGCAGATCCTCTTCAATAGTGGAAGGGGAAAAGAGGCCTTCAAGTGAATCTTGATTCCTGGCAATTACTGTACATGGATAGGTCCATGCAGTGTTCTTAGCAACAATTTTGGAAGTGACTCGCCACTGTTTTTTTCCTTAGGCTGAGAGAAAGTGTCTGGCCCAATGTCACCCAGCTGGCCCATTCCAGCATCTTAACTAGTATGCCACATTGAATGTCAATAAAAGTATTAATTGGATGTCTAATGGGAATGGATTTTTTAAATGAAGCAGATACATTCTGTGGTAGTTTAAGATGTTAAAAAGACATCATACTAACTGTCCAAGGAAACCTGCTACCAGTATCTCTACTCAAAGTAACTTAAAGAATTTTCTGTACAAATCAGTCAACTGCAAGTTCAACTTAGTAAGTGGGGACTGTATTTGTAATGCCTACCCTGTTCCTCAATAAGGACATTGTTAGTTTAGCTACCTCTCAAGAAGGAAAAAAAAATCTTCCTGACCATACTTAATTTGCAGACATGATTTATTTTTGGTCTCTACCTCTTAATATTAAGGTTAAAAACAAGAAAAAAAATCAAGATTTATAATAGAGAAACAAAATAAGGTGAAGGTCCTAAAACACAGATGTCAAACTTGATCACATTACGTGATGAATCGCGATGTATAGCGATGTTTTTTGTCTTTGTGGAGCCAGGGTGGGCGTGGCCTGCACGTGACGCATCCGGCCCATGGGCCACCAGTTTGACACCCCTGCCCCAAAATATACAAATGGAAAAATACCATTATAAATCATATTAGATAATATCGTTTCCCCCCAAAATAAGACATCCCCTGATAATAAGCCCAATTGGGCTTTTGAGCGCATGGCAATAAGGCCAAGCGCTTATTTCAGGATTCAAAAAAATATAAGACAGGGTTTTATTTTTGGGGAAACACGGTAAATATGCATAGCTATCAAGTAGGTATATGCAAATGTTTCATGGTGAAAACTCTGGAATGGACTGTTCCAACCCAACCAGACATATACCGATTTTCAGTTCAACTGCCTCAATATTTTTTCCAATATTGTTGGAATGGTCTATTTTGAGGCTGAAATGTTGATAGAATAATGTTGGAACACTTATGATAAGGCAGAAGCAGCCAGTTGGAATAGGACTTTTTAGAACTGGGTCATTCCAACCACAAAATCTTTTAAAGCAGTAACAGACAGTGCCAGCTGGTGTCTTTTCAGATTGCAGAAAAGCAACTGGTTTACTTAATGCTTTTGCATGTTTAGACATACATAGATATGTAAATACAGAAGCAATCCATGCCAAACCTATCAAAAAAGATGTTTTATAATATAGAAGTATGCTAGAATACTAGTGCAATAAATAACTAAATGTTATATTAGCACTGTAACTCAGCCAATCATTCAACAAACTTACTATTTCTCTCCCTTTCACTTTTCAAATTCTGAAGGAGAACATTTGGGGAAAAAAAGGTATCATATGCTACTTTGGGTTTCATGGGCCCAAGTTGGATAAAGCAGCTCATTTATTTCTTCATAAAGTATATAATGCCCATACAGTTTGTACAATTCTCCTGGGCTGAAACTAAGCACAAATTCTCCAAGGTAAAATGGGGATGCATGGATTTTGGGGCAGAAAGGCAATGAACAAGCATATTACAGAGAATAAGCACAGCAGAAATGCTACTATTTAACTTGGGTGGGGGAGTATAAATTACCCAAATTTATAAAAATGTGTACTGATTAATATCATTTGATCTTGCTTTTTTAAATGCTGGAGTCATTCCAAAATATTCCATTGACTTTGAGGAGAGAAGTTATTTTTTTTAAAAAAGAAGGATCCCCATTGGATATTTTTCCTATGCAATATATTCATAATTTGTTTCTACTGTTCCTGGAACCATCTCTTCATACCTCTATCTCTGCCTTCATCCAGATGATGTTTTAATGAGGTAATTGATTTGCCAAATTTATAGTATCTTAAACCAGACCCAACAATGCTGTTATCCTTTAGCTGTAACGCTCCCATTTTCCTAATGCATCATTTGCCATTTTTTCCTACAAAGGAGGAGGAAAATATGGGATAGTTACAAAGTTTTTCCCCTGGAAATACTCCTGAGTTGCATTGATGCTTCAGCCAGTCAATGTTCAGTGAAACACATAATCATGGAAACTTGTTTGACAATTGTCATTTAGGTAAATGAAGAGTTCACACCAAATATCTTCAGTCCTGTTTTTATCCCATAAGTCCTTGTGGTAGGAGAATACTAGTAAATTTTTGTTCTGTAAATAGTGCCTCTTCAATTGATAATATTGTTGTTTTTAACATTTGTTCTGCTTCATTATACGGTTTACTTGTTTTGTATTTGAGCTCTCTAGTTCTAGGTAGCATGGTACTCAAAAGGTTTAGTTTTTCAGTTACTTGTTATAGTGTCTAATGCTACTTTGGGGACTTGATTGGCCCATAGACATCCAGCTGGTGTCCATGCAAAAGGGAGGACTAGAACATGGACTTCCCTAGTCTTAGCCCAACATTCTAACCATTATGTCATGCTGGCTTTCAATCCCTACTGACAAGATATAAACCATCAATATTGAGAAGGCATGTTCCATGATTAACAGGATATAACAACAAGTTTTGTAATGAAGCATCTTGTGGTTTGGGCAACTCTTCACTCAGCTTCATCACTTTACCTTTGAGGACTGCCTGAGCAGGATGCTCAACAGTCCATTAAGTTTTTGAATTCATACAGCACAACTGAATCTAAGGGAAGAAAAATAAATCAAAAGTTGTCCTAATATAGTTTGGGGTTAAAACTAATTTATTCTTACTCCAAAGTTGGTTGGGTTAGTAAGCTGCAAAACACTATCCTTGCGACTGACTCACTTAAACTTGTTTTATGAACCAAACTTTAGAATACCATAGATTCCTACATACCATAAATATGGCTGAAGAAAAGTCCCTGTTTATACCTATTAGCTGTAGCATTTAGATATTATTCAAGGAAGAAGCAGAACTGCAAAACAAAACCTACCATACGAAAGAGGGAGATGGTATTTTGGGTGATATTATAATGAGAAAGAACTTGAGAACTGGTGCAGATTCCAAATGGTACATCTGGTATATGTTTTACCATGGTAAGGAACTCTAAGGCTTCTGGTTTTTCTAAATCCTGAAAAAATAATGAACAAATTGAGAAAGATTTTGTGACACTATGATGTATATAGAGATTGGTTTTTGTCCCCAGAGCTATTCCATTCATAATTCTAGGAACAGGAAAGGGTATAAAAATTCTCTTACAGCTTTTCCCACAGTGCAATTTTACCATCACGGAGCAGGTCCCACTTCAGAAATTTAACTTAATGCATTATTTAAATAAAGGTTTATCTGCCACTATCATTCAATACTGAAGCTTCCAGAGCAACAAGCAAATTGGACAAAAGTATATTTGAGGCTTTGCCAATTTTTAATTTATTTTAGGTACAAAGATAGATGAGGAGGATGAAAATACAGGAGAAAGAGGGGGGAAAGAGAGAGGGAGAAAGTGGGGGGGAGATAAAAAGAAAACAATGAAAGAAAATGTCCCTGCATCCTGCATCACATCAAAGTTACCCTGATTATTGCCAATTAGACAATCTGTGTCCCCTTGGGTCATCATTCCAGAGATACTTTATTATCAGATTCCTCCATGCCTTCAACAGTAGCAGAACTTCTAATGTACTGCCTTCACTGGAAAATTTCTTTACAATTCAGGGAAATTTTTAGACATGTAGCTGTCTTGAAAATAGCCTATGTTGAGCTATATAGCACAGTCAAACATCTGCAGTTTACCACAGGAAATGTTTTGTGATCATTTTTATGTCATAAAATGTTTTATCAAATTTACAAAATTTCAACTCTCCAGGAGCCATGGGTCCAGAATTTTGGATACATTCTGTAAGTTAGTTGTTTGATATACCTTGGTTCAAAAAGTATTGCCTTATGATGCACCATTTCACCCAGTTAAAGGTTACAAAGTTTAAATTTTTTGTGTGTGTGCGTGCGTGCATGCGTGCGTGCACATATACACACACAGAGCTTGCAGGGAATGGTGTAAAGAGTCATCAACCTGCAACAGCCTTCCTCAATATGGGGTTCTTCAGAGGGCCAGTTAGGAGACAAGAGAGTTACAAGCCAGCTCTTGACTGTACTTGTAAGAAAGGTTGCCCTATGGCAGCAAACAGGTCATCTGTGATGACTCAAATGTTGGTGAATTAGAACTCCCAGCATCTTCTTTACTAGTGATTGTTATGGTAGAATTTGGCAATTGTAGTTCAATAATGTCTAAACAGCTACAGTTTCCCTACAGCTATTCTTTTATAGAGATGTAGTGGGAGGAAAAAGGTAGAAAAAACAAAAAGAGGACAGGAATATGAAGGTGATACAGAGGAAAGGCAAAATGGTGAGGACCAGAATTTTTTTAAAAAAAAATATAACATACAATGAAAGCAAGACATATTCTAAATGAAAATTATAATTCAGTAAGAATTTCTTCCAATTTGACTGTCTTTTACACTTAGAAATTTAAGGGGAGAATGCTGACATCTGGTGGCTATTTTCACAGACCCCGTTGAAGATGCATTTTAAGATCATTTAAAATATACAAAACCTCAGAAAGGTCTTTTATGTTTATAATTTCTTGTAATCTTTAATAATAATGAATCAGCATGATTTAGAGAGTTAAAAGTGGTATATTGGTTTATTACAAAGTGTTTATTGTTGCTGTTGTATTTTTATTCTTGGAGAGAAGCATTCTTGGAATATTTTATCACTAGTGTCAACAATATTTAGCTATGTTCAGATATAATATCCTTGGTACAGGAAAGGGAATTCCTGTTCCCCTCAAATAGCAAAATGTTTTAGACTATCTTTATGGAAAGTTTAAAAATGCCCTTTTAAAACCATAGTAGAAAAGTATCTAATTTTTGTAGGTAGGTACATTTTTGTAGGTAGAATTTACATGGGCCTTCCTTAACTTCACACCTGTTTGATAAATTGGACTATAATTCTCATAATTCCCGAACAATGTGGATCAAGATTGTGAGTTGTAGATCAATCATGTTTAATAGGACTTATTGATGCCCTTTGAGGAGAGACCCTTTGTAGCTCTGGCAGCTGCAGGAAGGTATCATGTGCTCAGCTGGCTCTGATTATGAGAAACAACCTTCAGAAAACATGTTGAGAAAATAGACAAACATATTATGTGCCCTTGAGGTTAATTTGGCACTGATTCAATAACGCAGCCGTCCCTAACCTGATGCCCTCCACATGTTTTTGACCCAGCACATCCTGGAGGGTAGCAGGTTTGAAAATACGGCTGTCATGATTTTTAACTCAGATTTGTCTTGTGTCCCTGTAATAGGCAGATTAATCTTTCCTGGATTACTTGATATCTCAGTATTTTATAACATGCTAATTATACCTTTCCAACTTCCCACAATAAATTCCTCAATTAACAAAAAGTTGTTAGTTTAAAAAACTTCTATGGCATTTTTTAAAACCCTTTAAAATAGTATAGCATAGAGAAATAATATAAAACATTAATAAACTGTTTTCAAAACAATGTTAAAGTAGCAAGGACTGTTTAAAAGTTTGAATTAAAAAGACAATCTTGATTCTTTTTGAGAGCAATGAGGAAAAAGTATTTTCTGTGGGATTGAAAAGTGAAATTGGCCACAAGAAAGATGGTCCCCTAGGTCAGTGTTTCTCAACCCAGCAAGTTTAAGATGCATATTCTTCAATATATTATATATTATTATAAGAGACTTATAATATATGCAAAATAAACTATCTCTGGGGGGTGATACGGTATGCTAAATATGGTTCCCTTAAATATAGTTTATGAAATCAAACACATTTTTCATAGTTGACACAATGTGCTAAGCTGTAAATCATAGGTAATAAGCATAATGCCTAGGTTCCACAAGTACTAAGCCCAAAGCAGGCAAACCATAGTGCACTTTCTGTAAAACCAATCACTCGGTATCTTGTTGCATTTCAACAGACCTCAAAGAATCCAACAACTGCCACCTCAGCTCCATCAATGAAGGCTGCTGTACTTGGGACATCTTCCAGAAGCACAGGCTTCCTTTCCTCTTTGATAGTATCTGGAGGTAATAGAAGGAAGGTACTGTTTAGCCAGCATCTTTTTATGGCCAATTTCTACCGATTGTCATAAAGATCCGCTTTGAGTTTTCATATTAGCAAATCTTCACCTGGACAAATAGTTCTTTCACATTTTGACTTTAAACAATGCCTGGGAATAACATAAAAAAATGTCCTTTCCTGGTTTTGGTGCCAACCTGCCATGAAGCAAGATCTGTTGTAGCATGGAGCATTCTTGGATGAGGTACCTAATGTTTAAAATTCCACTTCTCAAGTAAGGCCTAACGCCACCTGATTTTTCAGATGGGGAAATCTGCTTGTTCCATTTGATTTTTAAGCGATAGATGGAGCTAAAGGATGACTAACTGCATTTAGGCTTCAAGTCTTATTCATGACAGATGTATTTCCTCTTAGTGTTTCTTTTCTGCAGCTGAATTTTATTCTTCTTTGTGATTATTTTTTTCAAATAAAAAGCTAACTAAAGCATGAATTGCTTTACTATGATCCATGGCTTTATTTCCCATCATGAAGAATTGAGACTGCTGTTTGAGTGATGTCATAATACACAGGAATTTGGAATGAAATAAGTAGCAATTTGGTTTACGGTGATCCCAGTTGATTATCCCGATGAAGGGGACCAGTCTGTGCTGCAATCTCTCTTTTCAAGGTTTCCTAGGAAAATCATGAATCTGATTGTCCCTGAGTTTTTCCTAAACCATTTTGGGTATTGAGAATTGTGTTCTAGCTAGGAGTTGAGCATGCTGCCTACTAAAACAGCATCACCACAATACCCCTCAGAAGGATTACTCTTCCTTAATCCAAACTACACTAGTGTAGCCGTGCTTACTGCCAAGTGATGAGGGCAGGAATCCAGTACCTTTGAAGAGTACCAGTTTCTGAAAGCTGATTTAAATGTTGCTCTCCTTGTCTATTGATATATTTCTTGGTCTGTTCATTATCCCTTTTTCTAAATTTGAGACAGGCTTTCTTACCTTCAGATGAAGAGTTTTTCTCTCCAGATCCAAAAAGGAGCACACCACTGAGGAAAACTAAAAGAAACGTATGCAAGAGGGAGTTTTCCATTGCTCTGACTTCTTTTCTGCTTCTCAGTTCTTCTGTTTCAGGCAGAAAAAACACCTTTGAGAACTGTCACTTAATCAGACGTGACAGCTCCAAAACTTGTGGGAGTGAAACAGTTGGGAATGGCCACCTGTACCTTTTTTTTCTTCTGATAAGAAACTAGTGGGGATATGAACTCCCAAGTATTTCTCTGATGTGATAAATCTAATTATTCTATTGTAAGACAAGCTCCATTTTCACAGCTTAGCAAATAAAAAACAAAATATTGAAGTTTAGGTAAGTTAACATAGACAGAACTCTGCTTATTTCTGTACAACCAGGCTAGCATTACAACAGTTTTTAAGAGTTCGTTTAATTTTTTAAAAATCACTATAGATTTTGAATTGATTAAATCTTCATATTGTCATGAATTCCAACCCCCTCCTTGGTGTCTGATGAGACACAGAGGAAAGAGAAAGAGAAAAAAACCTTCCCAGAGAAGTTTGCATAGAAAGAGATACTAGCATGTTGTCAAACACCTTTGAAACTAGATAGCAATATTTTAATTATAAAAATTAAATCGCCAATTTCATTACATACATATTTTCAATTGAAACAAATATTTTCAATTGGTTAAATATTGCAGTTCTATTTTCATAGATGTTATTTGTACTTGTTTGTTGGCCTTTACTAATATCACCCAGAAATCTTATGGACTGAAATTTAGAGTCTGAAAAATCTTTTTTCTGAAAATTTGTTTTGTGGCTGTTTCATTTAACCTCTCTTATCTCATGCACATTTTGCCTGCACCACCTCCTACCGTTGTATTTTAGGTTTCTATGAAATGAGCAGTGCTTTCTCTTACAGAACCCAAGTAATTTCTGCCTATTACACAGAATAGCATTTGTAAAGGGAACATTCTTCAAGTTATTTGCTTATTCATTTTGTCCCTTAATGCTGTGATTCTGAATGTAGCCTTAAATCATCAACTAGTTCTTGTTTCACCCCATCCCATTTCCTGATTTTGCAGGCCTCCCAGACACAGCTAAGATCAAACTTCAAAATCCAGAGCAAATTGTTTTTGTGGCAAAACAGTTTATATTTTAGAGGCGAGACTGTGACACAGAAGCATTAGCCTTCTGCAAAGAAAACTTCCAACCAAACATTTCAGCCCTACAGGTTCAGAGTCATCATTGGCCATTTTAAAAAAGGGTGCTCCCCCGAGCAATATGTACTGCCTACACCTATCTTTAGCAAAAGAATAAAAATAGACCCATATGCTGGTGACAAACCATATTCTTCCTCTGTACAATCAATCTACTTCTCATGATACCCTGAGAGTGATCCAGTGGCAATGCCCATTATGTTCTCTACAATCCTAATCATTAAGTGTTCTGCTTATGCCTTAAACTGTTAAAATGATGCAAGAAGACTAAAGTGCCTGGATCTGGGGGCAGGAGAGATGTGAGGCAAGAACTGAAGTTTGATATCCCTAGTGTGTAAAGGGAAAAATACTTAAATCTATATATTGTAAGAAACACAAGAAGCTCACTCTGAAGCAAAGGACAAAATTGGCTTTATTTTCAAAGACACTGCTATAGTTACAGGCCAGGTCAGGAATCATATCCTATATTACTAGACAAGGCAACTCCAAATGCAATTCTGGGAACCAAATTTAAACAAGACACTATCCGCTGACAGAACTTTTCATATAAGGCAGGGGGGAAAGAGAAATTCCAAAGCCAACTCTCTTTCAGTCAACTGATGTGCCATGATAGCAATAGGTTTAAGTTGGTGACTATGTATCTTCTGACCAAAGGCACTTCAAGAATTGATCCTGTGCAACCAGAGAAATGTTTTGTCCCTGTTGATTTTTGTGAGATTATTTTTAAGGTAGCAGGAGGAGAAACAGAATCTCTCCAATAGCCTATACTGGCTAAATTTCTTTTGACAATAAAAGGGTTGGGTTATGTGGAAGAAGCATGGCATGCATGTGCCAGCAACTGACACATTTGGAATAAGCACAAGCAGCAGAAGAAGGAAAAAGAGAAAACTGGGTAAAATTCATTCTGTCCATTCCTTTTTAATAGCCAAGTTCCATTCCCAGGTGAGATGGTTGTGCTTATCATCATCAGTGAAGAGAGACTTATTGCAGTAGTTTCCTCGGGCCACCAGGCCCTTTGGTGCTTCCTCAATAGGTGTCATGAATTCATACTCTTCTGGCCGTGGCCCATAGCTGCCCACCATGAATACAGCCTTATCCACTAGGAGAGAACAAGCCACAGAAAGACAATGCATCAGAAGGTAGGACAAAAATAGAATGGAACACAAAACACAAATGATTTTAAAATGCAATACAAACATTTAATATAATAATGATTGCAGTTTTCCATCGCCTGGATTGAATTCAGATTATATCATCCTTTAGTAGATTTATCAGCAGTTGCTACTGCAACTAATGCTCAGAAACCATCCCAGAAAGGAATTTGGAACAAACGTTAATTAATTTATATGATAGAAAAGTTAATTTAATTTAGATAGTTAATTTCTCTATATGATAGAAAATAACAACAATAGCATCCTCCAAACTTCCAAAATACAGTTTATAAAAAATGCCCCAAATCCTCCAAGATTATTAAATGTTTCCATATTTCAGTGTTCTCACATAGGTTTTCAACCTTCCTTAATTTCCCTAGCAATCAGATCATCGTTTCTTCAGAATGTCATTAAAACTTGACAGTTTCAAAGGGTCATGAGAATGGACTTGCTGTGAGTGGAGAATTTCTGGTTTTGAGAATCTGTTTTCTGCTTGATTATTTCTTTGGCGTGAAGGTTTATTAAAACAGTTTTACATTTTTTCTTTTATGTGATTTTTTTTTTGTTGATACAATTTATTGTTTTAAATCTTATTGTAAGCTATCTAAGCCTCTTAACAGATTTTTCTGAAGCTTGTATACAGGGAGGGAAGGAACGAGGGAGGGAGGGAGGGAAGACGGACTTGGGGCAATTAAAATTAGGATAGAAGAGACAGCCCAAGTTAGCTCAAGTCCTCTGATGTTATACATATAAGAGAATTTTCTCTCTGGTGTCTGAGCATACCATATAAATATCTATAAATAAGGGGGGTTTCAGGTATCTAGCTATATGTCCAGTGTTTACCATGCAAATAGAAATATCAACAGAATAATTTCTGCTCCTGTGGATTGCGGTCTCTGTATTACAGTTTAGAGGCAAAGGCTTTCTGCCATATTTGCACTGTACAAAAAGGGAAAGGACTGCTTTATCTACAAAGTGTGAAAGGTGAGTTATTCAGCGCAACCACATCAAGGTGATTTTTGAAAGAACATGCAAGCAAGGCTATGTTTATAGCAGTATCATCTACAGATATTGAAGAGAAGAAAAAAATGATTTCACATATTCACCTTTCACTCCTTTCCGGTAAGTGTTCTGGAGATATTTCAAACCAGATACAATCTCTTTGTTTACCTGCAAGAGAAAAACTGCCCATTGAGTGGGGTAATTCAGTTCAAATTATCAATACCCTTACTTTGGGATATGGTAGGGAGAAAACACCATTCTGTAACTAAACTAAACAATTTATTCATTTATTTTTTCAGTTTATGAGGCTCCTGTGATTAGGAGTCTAATCATCAAAACCTAAATTGAAGGTAAGTTTAACAGCCCAAATCTTCATACACTCAACCATAGTAGTTCAATTTAAGATTCCTCACAGCAGCTTGAATAAGTCATATCAGATCTTCAGCTAGTTTTTATGTTGTGCCAACAAATGAAACTGCCACTATCTCTTTATGAGACATTTAGAATTTGAATTAATGTAAGCATCAGTGGAAATGAAACGCTAAATCCAGCACAATTACTAGCTATGTTTGTCCAATTCTGGTTTGCTCTTCTTTAAGAGGAGGAGGAAATAAAGCAGTTTTCAGCAATGTAGCCTATCAGTGTGACCACTTCTGCATTTTGCCCAGATGACACTTTCTGTTAAGGGGCCATTTTACATTATAATGATCAAATAAAGTTTAGGAAAAGGGGAAATTTCTGAACAAATTTTTAAAGACCAGCAATTGGATATATTTAGGATTAAATATATTTGGGGGGAAAAAACCTAATATATTTTGGGACAATACACTTCTTAATGATATTTGTTGCTGATGCACTGTTCTGAAATATAGTAATAGATCTGTAACCTAAACAATGATAAATATTAAGCTAAAACAATAAAAGCCAATTTAAGAAAAGTAATTGAGTTCATGTTTCTTTTTTCTGCTTCTAATTAAGTTGGACAAGGAAAAAAATAAAAACTTTTTATCCGTTTTGTTGTATCATAATGTAAGAATAATGTATAGTTTCATTTAAATTTATTTTGTCTTTAGTAGAATACAAATAATTAGTCCAGTAAAAAGAATTAAAGAATACAAGATTCACTGGAAATACTTTCCTTTCTGCCTGTAGACAATGCAAATTTCTTATTTTGGTTAATGCTTTATTATTTAAATTGACAGCTGTGACATTTATGAACCAGCAATGTACACATTTGCACTACAAGAGGCTGTAGTGAAGATATGCAGAATGGAATAGAATCCAGCTCCAGAAAATTTCTACAGGAAAGTCACTTACTTTGAAGTGGATCTTGACTCTATATTCAGCTCCTTCTTTTAATACAAAGGTGTCTTTCTTCAGAGCCTCAAGGTCCCCTGGAACAGGGAAAATGCCTTAATCAATCAGGTTAAAAGATGTGGAAGAAAACAGCTTTCTTCCCATGGATTCATTTGATTGCTGTATATTGGAGTACCATCTATATATATGCATAAGCAGTGATGTGCTAATACACATTTAATGAAAGGCTCTGCTGACTCCATTGCTACCACGCAGCTAGTTACCAAATAGCTGATAGGCGCGCTAGGCGTGGTAGCTCAGCTCTGCTCTCAATCAGCTGGCAAAATTTCAGAAAATCAGCTCTTACAGCTCTAGCACTTTGTTGTGTATAAACATATCTGGGTTGCAAACATGTTAGTATTGTGCTTGTTTTAACCAGCATGTGGCAGTTTAAAAATAAACAAACAATCAAGAAAATAAATTCTCTCAAAGA